GTTGTTGTTGTTGTCGTTGTTGTTGTTGTTGTTGTTGTTGTTGTTGAAGTTGTTGTTGTTGTTGTTGTTGTTGTTGTTGTTGTTGTTGTTGTTGTTGTTGGTGGTGGTGGTGGTGGTGGTGGTGGTGGTAGTGGTGGTGGTGGTGGCGTTGTTGTTGTTTTCATTGCGCGTTTCTCAGAATTGAGTGCCCAGTCGGCCAGTGGAGGGCGCAACTCATACTCATCGTGATTGCGTGTAGAAAGCAGGGCGTGCGCGTTATGCCGATCTGTTCGCGGCGAGCCCTGCGCACCGCGACCGCAGAACACACGGCGTGGCGAGTTGCCGAGCACCGCTGAGAAACCGTGGCACGCGACGTCTCGTCGCCCAGAGCCGTGCAAAGGCCACGACACGTGGCAGGTTCTTCCCCGCCGTCTCGGGACGTACCCCATTGGTTCTAGTCGTGGCTGGCCGTCCCCCCGTCCCCTGGTATCGTTCCTCCCCCTCACCCGCCTCGTGCTCCTTCTCTGCTTATTTGCCCCTCTTGGGGCTCCCGTGCGGCACTCTTGGGCCGTACTGGACGTTGTCTTGAGAGGTCCTGTTGGGTTGTCATAAGGGGGGTTCGTCGGACACTCTTGGGCCGTCTTGGAGCTCTCTGGGACATTTCGGGGCCCTCTTGGGCCGTCGTGAGCTGCTCGGGGGTCCTCTGGGAGATCCCCCCCTCTGGCTGTCCGATGGGGGCCTCCAGGAGGCAGGGGAGGTCTCTCAGAGGCTTCCCCCAGACTCCAGACCCCAGGAGGCTTCCAGGAGGCTTCAAGGGGGACTCTTAAGGCCATCGCCGCCGTAGCTCCACCGCATCTGGTGATCCGCGGGCCCAGCAAGAAATTCGTCATGGACGCAGGCGCGGCCCAAGACGGCACGAAGAGACCCCCCCCTGGTCATCAACCAGGTATGGTGGGCGGCCTCTTTGAGTGCCCGGGGAGGCCTCCCCGACGCCCTCCCCAGGCTTTTGGGAGGTCTCCCGTGGGAGACCTCCAGGGGGGATCAGGGAAGGCCTCCGAGAGAGCTCCTTTGGTCCACCCGGAGGCCTGGGGAGGCCTCCACTGGTCCTCGGGGAGGCCTCCCACCGCACACCTGGTGGATGACCAGGGGGGGCTTCGGGAAAACCTCCCCTGGCCCTCGGGGAGGCCTCCACCCAGATCTCCTGGAAGACCAGGTGTGTCTCCCAGAGGCTATCCTGCATGTCTATGGAGGACTTCCCTGGCACTCCTGGAAGAGGGGGGGGCTCCGACGGCCACGCCGGGGCGTTTTAACCTTGGGCCCGTCCGCCCCGAGAAAAAAGTGCGGACGTAACTAAAATTCTGGCTCTTTCTTAATAAGGAACCTCCGCGGGCCCTCGATGGGCCCGCTTTGCGAGACATCTGCCGGTCCGCGAAAGTTATTGAGGACTCCCCGGGCCCACTAGCAAGGGCCTTTCTTGAGTCCTCGGCGCTCACGGACCCCACAAGTCCCACATGTCCTGCATGCCTTACAGGTGCCACGTGTCCCACAGTTCCGACGGGTCTCGCAGGTACGCAGGTCTAGCAGGTCCCGCAGGCCCAATAGGTCTCACAGGCCCCTCAGGTCTCGCGGGTATTGCAGGTTCCACAGGTCTAGTAGGTCCAACAGGTCCCACGAGTTCCACAAGTCCTCTCACAGGCCCCACTGGTCCCACATGGGGTCCCGCATGTCCCACAGTTCCCGTAGGTCCCAAAGTCGCACAGGCCCGATAGTAGTCCTCGCAAGTCCCACAGAGCCGACGGGTCCCACAGGTCCTGCATGCCCCACGGGTCCCACAGGACCCTCAGGCCTCGCAGGTCCCGCAAGTCGCGCGGGTCACATATGTCCCACATGTCCCACAGATTCTACAGGTCCTACAGGTCCCGCAGGTCCAACATGTCTCATAGGCCCCGCAGGTTGCACAGGTCCCACAGGTCTAACTGGTCCCACAACATGCCCCACAGGTCTCACAGGTCCCGCACTTTCCCCAGGTTGCGCATGTCCCACAGGTATCGCGGTATCGCAGGTCCCACAGATCTCACAGGTGTCGTAGGTCTCGCATGTCTCCAAGGTTCCAAAGATCCCACAGGTCCGACAGGTCCCACAGGTCCCGCAGGTCCCACAGGCCCCTCTGGTCCCACATGTGCCACAGGTCCCACAGGTCCTCGCAGGTCACGCCAGCCCCGCAGGTCTCGTGGGTCCCGTATGTGCCCCACAGGTCCCAGTTCCCACAGGTCCCACAGGTACACAGGACAGGTCTCGCAGGTCCCGCAGGCCTCACAGATCCCACAGGTCCCACAGGATCTTCAGGTCCCACAGGTCCCACAGGTCTTGCAGGTCCCACAGGTCCCACAGGTGCCACAGGTCCCACAGGTCCTCGCAGGTCCCACAGGTCGCGCAGGTCCCACAGGTCTCGCAGGTCTCGCAGGTCCCGCAGGTCCCGCAGGTCCAACTGGTTCCACAGGTCCCACAGGTCTCGCAGGTCCCGCGGGTCCCAGAGGACCCGTAAGGCCCATTGGCCCCATAGGTCCCGAAGGTCTCAGAGGTCCTAGAGGTTCTGCAGACCCCACGGGTTCTACAGGTTTCACAGGTGTCGCAGGTCTCGCAGGTGCCACAGGTCCCATAGGTGCATAGGTCCCCCGCAGGCCCCGCAGGTGCCACAGGTCCCACAGGTCCCGCAGGTCCCACAGGTCCCACAGGTCGCGCAGGTCCCACACGTCACCGTTTCTGCTATTCGAGTGCGTTGTTGGGGTACTTGTTTGAATGATCTGGTGCGCGCAAATGCTTACGCTGCGCGTGGTGCAGAATAGGCCATGAGTGCAAGTGCCAAACGTTGCCCCGTAAATTTGGAATTACGCTTGTCCTGGGATTTGTCTGTGAATTTGAGGGGAGGGTGGTTTCCATGGTGGCCATTTTTGTGGCACCATGGAAGACCAGCCACAGACCACCGCCGCACGAGCGAGAAGATGCAACCATGATGGCATCACAACGCACTAGCCACACAGCACCACCCGTAAGTGCACCAGCCACACAGGCAACGCATTTCACCACGAGAACTCGCAGCCAACCATGGCTGTTCCAGCCATCGAGCACCACCCAAAAGGTCAGGGAAACGTAAGGCTCGAGTACGCCGCAACTCGGGTTCGCCTATGCGTTTTGACGAGCCCGCCCTGAAGTTTGACGGTCCAGGTTTCGTCGGATGTCTGCGGCGGGAGCTCGCGTCAAATCTCAGATTGGATCGCGCCATTTTCGTAATGGCTCCGTCGGGCCAACCCGAGTTCCCCCCACCCGAGTCTTAAGTCTCCCCGACGAGGGCACCAGGGCAAGAGCTATGAGTCGCAGCCATCTGGGCGCCAAAGGGCTCCGGCCATGCCACGGAGCACCGCTCGTGGAGCACCATGGGCAGGAACGAGGCACCACAACCACGGAGGCCCCGTGGAGCACGGGCCGCAGAGCACAGCCCACGAGACACCAAAAGAATCGAGATCGAGGTCGAGGTCGAGGTCCGTCGAGGTCAGAACGTCGAGGTCGAGGTCCGTCGAGGTCGAGGTCCGTCGAGGTCGAGGTCCGTCGAGGTCGAGGTCAAGGTCTCCTCGATCCAGAAAGTTCGGGGAGCAGCGGTGAGTCGTCCTGCGCATCCCTGCCCATCCCACGATTCCGTCCCTCTTCTCTTCCGCCTCGTTCCATGACGTGCGAAGGTCCCGTCGAAGCCTTTCCGACCATGTAGGTAGGATCCTGCTCCCCGGCCTGCCTCCTCTACCTCCTGACTCCTCCCGCCGAAAGCGTACGATACCCTCCTCCTTATCGTCCTCCTCCTCCTCCTCCTCCTCCTCCTCCTCCTCCTCCTCCTCCCTCCTCCTCCTCCTCCTCCTCCTCCTCCCCCTCCTCCTCCTCCTCCTCCTCCTCCTCCTCCCCCTCCTCCTCCTCCTCCTCCTCCTGCTCCCCCTCCTCCTCCTTTTGCCACTGCGACTGTGGCGATCATGACACTCATGACACTCCTCCTCCTCCTCCTCCTGCTGCTCCTCCACCCAGGTCTCCCCTCCCCCTCCCCCTCGTCCTCCTCTATCCTCCCCCCTCGCCGCCTCGTCCGGGGAGCGCCGCGAGCACGGCGCGAGGCGCGAGGGGGCAGAGGCTGCCAGCCACATCCTCGGCGGCGGGCCAGCCCACGGGCCATTTTTCAGCTGGCGCCCGCGGGGACTCGCTGGCCTCCGCGTTCTGGGGGTGTCTTGGCCGGGAGGCATCTTTGGTGGTCCTCCTCCTCCTCCTCCTCCTCCCTCCTCCTCCTCCTGCTCCTCCCCCTCCTCCTCCTCTCCTCCTCCTCCTCCTCCCCCTCCTCCTCCTCCTCCTCCTCCTGCTCCTCCTGCTTCTTCCTCCTCCTCCCTCCTCTCCTCCTCCTCCTCCTCCTCCTCTCCTCCTCCCTCTCTCCTCCTCCCTCCTCCTCCTCCCTCCTTCCTCCTTCATCCCTCCTCCCTTCCCCTCCCTCCTCCTCCTCCTCCCTCCTCCCCCCTCCCTCCTCCCTCCTCTCGCCTCGGCCTCCAGGGGCGTTTGCTCAGGAAGCCTCTCGCATCGTCGTGCTTTAAAACAGTACCCGGGGACTGCCTTAAAGCGCGATGCGGGAGGCATTTTTGATGGTCCTGGGGCCCGATGACGGGCCCCTTCTTGAGGCCCTCCCGAGAGCCTCGGGGGCCCATCCAAGAGGACACTGATCAACCACGGGGGGGTCTCGCAAGTGTGGCCTCGCGCCCTCGGCCCGCGGAGCGCTCCTGGAGCTCCCTTGGGCGCTCTGGGGAGCCGTCTTGGGGCCCTCCGGGGCTCCCCGTGGGGCTCTCTCGGCCCCGGGGTGGACGACGTCGGGCCGTCGGAGATGTGGCCCTTCGCGCCGCCGCCCGAGGACGGCCCTCTTCCCTCCGGCGGCGACGGGCGCCCGATCGGACGACCGAGCGCCCTCGTGGGCGGGGCCCCTTTCCCCCCCCCCCCCCCGGCAGGACGCGCGGCGGCTGCCCGAAGCACCCGCAGAGGTCGAAGCCAGCCAGCTGGCAGAGGGACAGGCGGCCGCCCGCCGGGGCTCCCTCGCAGCCGCCGCGCGCCCGGCGTCGGCGTCGCGGAGCCCAGGTGCTCCGAGGGTGCGATGTGGGGCTCCCGCCTCCGGAGCCCGCGCGCATTGTCCGGCCCCGGGGCGATGAAGAGCGGGCCACGGGGCGGAAGGCAGGCCCCTCTGGGAAGGGGCCGGGACCTCTGGGGCCCGCCTTCGGCTGCGCAGAAGTCAGGAGGGGACAAAAACACACCGACACAATGAATCGTCGATTCCCCCAGAAAATATTGGAGAAAATATGGGAAGTGGGGGGGGAGACAAAAACCCAGAACATCTGGGAAAACATGGGGAATCGTTTTATCTGTGTGTATTTATTTGTGTGTCCCTGGGCCCCTTCAAGAAGGGTGGCCCTTCGCTGGGCTGTTGCGCTGGGCGTTTTTCCCCTCGGTCTCGGGCCCCTTGGGCCATCACGGATCGATCCGACTCGGACCATGCAGGAGGAAGACGGGGTCTACAGCGTTCCGGTGGCATGTTTCACGCTGTTGTACACTGTTTGATGGGCCGATTGTCCACCACCATTACCATTGGTAGGAGAGCGAGGAGAAGGAGAAGGAGGAGGAGGAGGAGGAGGAGGAGGAGGGGGGAGGAGGAGGAGGGAGGAGGAGGAGGAGGAGGAGGAAGAGGAGGAGGACCTCTGGTAGTGGTGGTGGAAAAAACGGCATGAACATAGATTCTTGACGCTCCGCGCGGATTTTTTGGATCCGAGAACTCCGCGAGGCGCTCCAAAAGGTTGTCATGTTTGTGTCTTTTTCTTCCTCCAGACATGATCAGCCTGGGTAGTTGTTCGTCCGGCTGGGGGGGGGGCCCTCCCGGCGACCGCCGCCGAGCGCCGAGCGGGGCGGCCAGCCGGCCGCGGGCCCATCGCGAAGAGGCCTCGCAACGCCAGATCTCAGGGGAAGGGTGGCTGTTCGCTTGACTGGTGTCTGGTGCGGTCTCGCCAGGCCCCCCTCCCAGCACTGGCTTGCGCGGTTGGTTCGCACCCCCCCCCCCCCCTGCCCCGCCGGCCCTTTGAAGCCGCGCACCAAATATCACCACTTTTGCCCAGGGTTATATGATGTTTTAGCAAGCTTTCGCCTTGTCCACCAGAAGCAATTCCGAGCTCCCAGAAAGTACAGAAACTGGAGCGTCTTCACGTGTAGGGCCCTGTGAGGCTATACTCCTTCGACACTTCGCTAGCGTGTCGAGCAGACACGGGTTTGATACTTTTCTGGGTGTTCGAAATCATTTCCGCGATGTGGTCCCTAGGTGTGATGGGGGCAACATGAGTCCAGGGTCACTCTTGCGTGTCTCTGAGGCGGCAGGTCTCAGAGGATGCATCGGGCGCCGCAGCGGTTCCACAGCCGCTTCGGAGAGCGCTCGGAGCAGCTGCCAGGGGGATGCAGAACGCTCTGGGACAATATGCCCGCACCTTTCCTGGAACGCGGCAGGGAAGGCGCTCTCTGGAGCCAGGCGGCAGTCCACGCTGGCGACCACCGCGCCCAACTGCGCTGCGAAAGCGGCGCACCAGCGCGCCTCCGCCGATGGCCTATGGCCTATGTGACAAGAGACGCGGCCGAAGCACAACCGTTCGGAAGTCCGCGCGGATTTCTCGGATTGGCGTTGGGCCCCCCTGGCGGCGCCTCTGGGTTGTACTGGCTACCGGGGGGGGTCAGTCGAGGCCCGCCTGGATTGCGCCTCCGTGTGTTGCTTGCCGGTGAGCTGCAAACCTTGGCAATTGCCCTCCTCCTCCTCCTCCTCCTCCTCCTCCTCCTCCTCCCCCTCCTCCCCCTCCTCCCCCTCCTCATCCTTTTACAATTACACAATATGAAAATACTCTCCCACTTCCCCTGATGGCGTCCCGAAGATGGCCGACCCCCCCCCGGCGTACTGTTTTACACACAGGATTCCCGGGAAACGGGTTTTCGCCTGCGTTTTTTTCAAAATGCTGCTTTCGCTGAGGCGCCCGCCTCATTTCTGCTCCCGAATCGTTCTGAATCGTGCTCCCGCTGCAGCGTGGGCCTCATTTTCGGATCGGTGTTTGGCCTCCGTCGTTCAGGATTGCGTTCTCGCCCCAGCGCGGGCCTCTTTCTCGCGCGCCCATCCGCCCGCCACCACCGCGCCGCACCACCACCACCACCACCACCACCACCACCACCACCACCACCACCACCACCACCACCACCACCACCACCATCACACCACCACCAGCACCACCACACCAGCACAGCACCACCAGCACCACCACACCCACCACCACCACCACCACCACCACCACCACAACCACGCACACAGCACGCACGCACACACGCGCACCACCACCACTACGCACGCGCGCGCGGAGCCACAGGTCTGCTACGACACGCGTCCGCGGATAGAGAAAATCAGCGTCATGGTAAGGGATGGGAGGGAGGGGTAGCACGTCAAATATCACGCGAGCGCACCTAGCTTACCTCCTCCCTCTCCTCCTCTTCCTCTTTCCTCCTCCTCCTTCTCCTTCTCCTCCTCCTCCTCCTCCTCCTCCTCCTCCCTCCTCCTCTTGCTTGCTCCTCCTCCTCCTCCTCCTTCTCCTCCTCCTCCTCCTTCTCCTCCTCCTCGTCCTCCTCCGCCTCCTCCTCCTCCGCCTCCTCCTCCTCCTCCCTCTCCGCCCTCCCCGCCGCGCCCCTCGCCCCTCGCTCTCCTCGTTTTCTCGGCCGCGAAGGTCGCTGCGCAGCTGGGCGTCGAAGCGAGTGATGCGGCGGCGTGGAGGGCCAGAGCAGCTCCGTTCTGCACGAGTCCGCGCGCCCAGGGCGCACGACTCCTCGCTCGTTCGTGTCTCCTTCTCGTGGCTCGTCTTGCGCGAGGGCAGCGCGTGCTTTGAAGTGGCTGGCTGAGCATGCTTGCCCCCCCCCTCCCCCCAAGATTGGCCCGAACATGTCCATGTCCACAGCCTGCCGATGTCCCCGAAGATCGATCTCCCACAGTGGTGGTCATGGACAAACCCGCGGTGCACCACGCAAGGGGGGCTCTTCGAGGTTGCACTTCGGGGTCCACAAGATCAGATCGCCTCGGCTTCTGGCGATTCAGTTTGTCGCTTGGACGCGGGCTCAGTTGCTCTCGATGCCTCCCTGGGTCACCAGTCCGTCGTCAAACAAGTTTGGGTTGACGTCCTCGGAGCTCGAGAGCGGTGCCGAGATCACGGACAAGCATTTGCGCCTTCTTCTGTGTCAAGGCACAGGAGGTCCGAGCACGGTGATTCGGGTGCAGTGCTCATGCGGTTGATCTGAAGATCGGCCATGGCTCCTCCGAAGTTCTGCCTTGGCCAGTCTGGCCCCGTCCGCCGAGACGCGGCTCGGTCCTCGGTTCCCCCTTGACCGGCCGCCCCTTTTGATTCCGAGGCCCGAGGGCCGAGGACCGAGGAGGCGGACGAGGAGGAGGCGCTGACGGGGACACGACCGCCACCAGCGCCAGCATCGGGAGGAGGTGTGCAGGCAACCCGCACAGGAAGGATAGGCGGCCTTCCCGAGGGTACCCTTGCATCGTTGCCTCCTGGGTCCGTCCATCGAGGCTGTCGCTGGCCGCGCCCCGCTCGAGAAGCTTCGAAATGGGCGTCCAAGGCCCTTGCATCCTCATCGCGCATCCTTACTGTACTGGTTGACTAGAACAATACATCTAATTGCATCACTTCCAGTTTACAGACCCGGTGATCCGCAGGGATGGAGCGGGCGGTCCCTGGGTGGGCCGTTCTCGGTTTGAGTTCGTTTCGCAGCAGGGGCAGAACGAAGACAGAGCGAAGGGCACGAACATAACACCAGCACGACAAACGCTGTTCGGCTCGAGCCCTGGGAGAGGGGGAGGGGGAGGAGGAGGAGGAGGGGGGTGGGAGGAGGAGGAGGAGGAGGAGGAGGAGGAGGAGAAGGAGGAGGAGGAGGAGGAGCAGGAGGAGCAGGAGGAGCAGGAGGAGGAGCAGGAAGAGGAGCGGGAGGAGGAGGAGGAGGAGGAGGAGGAGGAGGAGCAGGAGCAGGAGCAGGAGCATGAGCAGTAGCAGGAGGAGACGGGCCGAGTGCCTTGCCGCCCACGGCGGCCTGGCAGGCGGGGCTTCAAGGACGCCTTCGGGTGCTCGCAGAGGAGGGACACCTTCGACAGGCGACCTCGCGTGCGGCGGGGGCCCGCCGGGCATGCTTTCCCAAGACGATCGCCCAGAGTCGGGGACCCTAGCTGTGGGGGAGGCGGGTCTCGAGGGAGAGGGGTGCTGATTTTGTGCGTCGCCGTCGGGCTCCCGGGGCCTCCGCGGGCCCAGGCACTGGCAGAGCACGACGCGGGACGAGGACTTCGTCCTGGGGGAGGGCTCCAGGGTCCAGGACCCGCTTCCCTCGGGACCCGTCTCCCCCACTGAGGAGGAGGAGGAGGAGGAGGAGGAGGAGGAGGAGGAGGAGGAGGAGGAGGAGGGGGAGGAGGAGGAGGAGGAGAGGGAGCGGGAGGAGGAGGAGGAGGAGGAGGAAGAGGAGGAGGAGGAGGCGGAGCTACATCGGGGGCTCAAGAGCGGGGGGGCCCAGAGACAGTGCGGTGACCACACCGTGCTGAAGGTCAGTGGGGGTCCGGGGTGACCCCACAGGTTTGAGGACTCGGGTCGCTTTCCAGGGATGTCTCGGGCGGCTAGGGTCTCCAAGGTCACCAAAAAACGGACGGACCGTGCGGTGAGTTCTCCCAGCGATCCTGTGGTGTTGGGTCATCGTTTCTCTCCGCTTTCTCATCCTGCCCGCCTCCTTCCTCCGGCATCCCCATCCTCCAAGCCTTGCCTCTGGCCTCCGCCATTTCGGCACACCCCTCACATGTTTCATGGTCCCAGAGGGAGCTCCGACGAAGGCCCCAAAGGCACAGTCCGCATGGCGTACCCGCATCCGGTTTGGCACACCCCTTACACGTTTCGTGGTCCCAGAGGAGCTCCAACGAAATCCCCAGCGGCACAATCCGCATGGCGTACCTACATCGGATTTGGCACACCCTTCCACACGTGTTGTGGTCCCAGATGGAGCTCCGACGAAGGCCCCAGTGGCACAGTCCGCATGGCGTACCCGCACCCGATTTGACACACCTCTAACACGTTTCGTGGCCCCATCTGGAGCTCCACCGAAGGCCCCAGCGGTACAGTCCGCGTGTCGTGCCCGCATCCGATTCGGCACACCCCTCACACGTTCCGTGGCCCATTTGGAGCTCCACCGAAGGCCCCAGCGGCATATTCCGCATGGCGTACACGCATCCGATTCGGCACACCCCTCACAGGTTCCGTGGTCCCTGGGGGGGCCCCAGTGCACGCCCCAGTGGCACAGTCCGCATGGCGTACCCGCATCCGATTTTGCACACCTCTCACACGGTTCGTGGCCCCATCTGGAGCTCCACCGAAGGCCCCACCGGCACAGTCCACATGTCGTGCCCGCATCCGATTCGGCACACCCCTCACACGTTTCGTGGCCCCACAGTGGCAGCGCTCGCATGGCGACCCCGCCCCATGCTGGCACACCCGTCACAAGCTCCTTGGCCCATAATTGAGGAGATTCACCGAAGGCGAGATCCACAACGACGGCATCCACGACGAAGGAGATTCACCGAAGGCGAGACCAGAAGGGAGACCATTCGAAGACCACGGGCCATGAGCCACCGAATTTGGATTCGGAGGAGTTAGCACACGTTTTGTAGAGATAGACAGGGTCTTTACGGACAAGATGTTGAGGTAACGTTCGCCATGAGGGACAGGAGTCCTGAGGGAAAGGGGTACTGGAGTTGTTCTCCGTCTTCGATTTGTTGAGGCCCTTCCCTGGTCCCATGGCCGTCAAGAACGGTTCGGGACAATCAGCTGGTCACTGGGGCGAAATGAGTGACCTATTACTAGTGGTGCGGCATCAACGGAGAGTAGCCTCGTGGACGCCTGAGCGTCCTCTCAAGGTTCGGCCAGGCATGCCTGCCGTTGCAACCAAGCAGTCGCAGCGCACTAGGTTTCGTCGCATGTGCTGAGAACACCTGGCCCATGGGCATGGCACAGCGAGGCAACTGCAGCGACGAAGCAAACAGCTGCTTTCTGAAGCTGCCTTGGCGTTCGACACAACAAGCGCGTGCAACAGCTTTGGGCTGCCACGCGGCCTTTCGAGCCCACTTCGGAGGGACGGAGCGGGGGGGGGCGGTCGCTCGACTGTCGCGACAGCATTGGCGACAGTGCAGTCGACGACCCCGCCAGACTGCAGGTGGGCCGCATGGCCTTGCCGAACGGTTGCATGGTTGAGCGCATGGCAACCAGAACAAGCAGCCCACACCAGACGACGCAAATTGTTACCATGCATTGCCACACATTTGCATATCTGTCTGTGTATTTATGTAGACATCTGTAGACATACACAGAAAACCATGTTCGAACTAGAGCTACTACTGAGGCGGGCGCATCATGCATGCGGTCACCTCTCGTGCGCGGTGTCGCCCGCAGGGGTGACGGTGAAAGTTTGGCGGGCTCAAACTGAACTGCAGTGCCGCTTACAGCTTTCAGGCGTAGCAGTGGGCCTACTCACGCACGAGAGGTGTGGAGTCTGGTACACGGGGGCTGTCTGTGCAAGTATTGGACATCACCCTTGCCACTGCAAAGACTGGCGCTACGACTACAGCCACATGATCGTGTTGCTATGATCACGACTACTCCCGCTGCTGCGGGTGCTCTTTTTACTGCCACGCCACCTGCGTAATGTTGCTTCTCTCCTCTCCTCCTGCTTCTGCGCCTCGCGGCGAGGTCCAGCTCACTCGTTTCGTTTCCATTCGCGGCCTGCTCTCTTGGATGGGAAGGAGGAGGAGGAGGAGGAGGAGGAGGGGGAGGAGGAGGGGAAGGACGAGAAGGAGGAGGAGGTGGAGGAGGAGGGGATGGCGGAGGAGGAGGAGGGGGAGGAGGGAGGAGGAGGAGGAGCAGGAGCAGGAGGAGCAGGAGGAGGACGAGGGACGAGGAGGAGGAGGAGGAGGGAGGAGAGGAGGAGGAGGAGAGAGGAGGAGGAGGAGAAGAAGGAGGAGGAGGAGGAGGAGGGTCTCCTCACCTGGCTGTGGCGCTCCCGCGGCCCCCCCCCCCCGCTGGGGAGGGCCGGTCGCCCCCGGGCCCTGCGGAGCCGCCCGCTGGCAGGTACTGCGGCGGCAACGGCACGGTGTTCTTCTACCGCTCCCAGGCCTCCCAGGACGCGGGCCGCGGGGGGGGGACGGCAACGCCCCGACGCCACGGCGTCGTGAGCATTGGCATCGCTCGGACGTGTGCATATTTCCTTCGGCGAGGACCATCGAGGAGCATCCTTGATCATTTGGCGAAAAAAACACGCACGAAACTGAAAAAAACACAGGGAATGGACGTCCGAGCGATGGCGAGGAGCGCGCCGCGTGGTGTCCGCGCCACGAGGCCGGCGCCCCGTGGGCGGCGTTGCGTCGGGGCCCGCTGCGACCCCGCCGGTGCGGAGTCGATGCCGGTGCTGGTCGGCTCGATGCCGTTCGATGCCGCTGCTCTCGCCATGAAGGGGGGAGGAGTCTTGAGGGTTTGTCCTGTTTGCAGGCTCCTCCGGGGCCCTCCACGGGCCCCAGGACTGTCAGAAAACGGCACGGGAGGAAGGCTGGTCCGTGGGATAAGCCACCAGGGTCCAGCAACCGCTCCCTTCAGGACCCGTTCCCTTCCTTCCAGAGATTCCGAGGATCCGTCAGTGGCCCGTGATTTGCATGGCGTGGAGGAGCGAGGAGGAGCGAGGAGGAGGAGGAGGACGAGGAGGAGCGAGGAGGAGGAGGAGGCGCATCGGATCCGATTCGACTCAGACTCCGTGCTGGTGCAGCCCGATCCGGCACACGGCCCAGCTCGACAGGATTTCCCGATTCGATGCTGACTGGTCTTGCAAAGGGGGGGGGCAAAGGCGGCGGCTTGAGGGCCTTCTCAGAGGGGGCCCGCGGCTTCCAGGAGGGCCTCTCAGAAGCCAGGAGTGGCTTCTGAGCGGCTCCGTGCTTTCCTCAAAAAGCCACCCCCTCGTCCCCATGCCTCGTGCGCGCCGCCAAGAGCGTGCTCGGCGCCCACGGGGGCGTGGAAGCGGCACCGCGCGTCGACAGAGAGGGGCTCTGGGCTCTGGGTTGTCGACTCGGCCCTCTGTCTTGGCATCGCTCGGACGTGTGCATATTTCCTTCGGCGAGGACCATCGAGGAGCATCCCTGATCATTGGGCGAAAAAACCACGCGCGAAACCGAAAAAAGCACAGGGAATGGACGTCCGAGCGATGGCCAGCTGTTGGCCTCGACGGGCCGAGGTGGATCCAGAGTCGATGTGCTGATGCAGGCCTCCAGAGGGGGAGGAGGAGGAGGAGGAGAAGGAGAAGGAGGAGGAAGAGGAGGAGGAGGAGGAGGAGGAGGAGGAGGAGGAGGAGGAGGAGGAGGGGGAGAAGGAGGAGGAGGCGCTGTGAAACAAAAACAGATTGCTCCGTCTGCAGGACCCCGCACGAGAACCCTCTCGGCGAGTCCTGGAAACAGCCCTCCTCGTCGTCCTCGTGACTGTGGAGGCGTCCTTACCGTCTCGAAGGATTGCAAAAACGAAGGATTGCAAAAAGGATTGCAAAAAAACATGTTTTTTTTTGCAATCCTGTTTTTGTTGTTGCAATCCTTGGGTTTTTTTTGCAATCCGTTTTTTTTGTTTTTGCAATCCTGCGCCCTTCTCAGTCTCGTCCTGGCGCAGGCTCCTCTCCCGCTCCCTGCGTTGCCCCCTCCTCGCCCCCCCTTTTTTCTCACCCCAGGCCCGGACGCAAGGGTCTCCCCCTGCGCCCGATTCGGCCGCCGATAGAGGTTACCGCCGGCGGCCCGGAGACAAGAGGTTACCCCTACCCCCGTTTCGGCCGAGGACGGGTTACCACCCGGGCCCTGGCCCGGATGCAAGGGGCTACCCCTTGCGCCCGATTCGGCCGCCGATGGGCTACCACCCGCGGTCCGGAGGCAAGAGGATACCCCTGCCCCCGATTCGGCCGAGGATGGGTTACCACCCCCAGCTCGGACACAAGAGGTTACCCCTGCTCCCGGCCGCCGACTCGTCGTCGTCGTCGTCGTCGTCGTTGTCGTCAGCTCCTCAGTCGCTTTTGTGTCCTACGCTACTGCGGGCCCACCCTGCTTCTTAGAAGGCGCGGGCGCCCCTTCTAAGAAGCTGGTGGCTGCTTCTTAGCAGCTGATCCTGGCGTGTTTCTACGAAACAGATGGCTTGCTTCAAAGTGTTTTGTTGCTTATGAGAAGCAGTTTCGTGCTTCTAAGAAGCTGCCAGGGTGCTTCTAAGAAGAAGCGGCGCGCCCCTGGCGGTTTAGAAGGGCGGCTGGCGCCTTCTAAGAGGCAGCCGCCTTCCAAGAAGCCTTCCCCCCTCCCCCTCCCCACGTGTGCGCGCCGCCAAAGGACAACGCCTCCGCCGACCCGGAGCCGGCGCCGCCAGCGCCCCAGGGGGGGCTTCGGCGGTAGCACCCAGCCCAGTTCTCCGACTTTAGCGGGGCTCCTTTTCTGAGCAGTGGGTGGGTATGAAGCCAGCGCTTCGCGCCCTTTCCTGGATTCCTGGTGCCTCTCTTCCTTCCGACACCTGCTTCGTGCATATGGTTTTCGCTTCTTTCCTCTGCCAGCGCGTCGCGTTGCGATTGCTGTCCAGTCGGGTCAGGCGGAGTTGTCGAGGTCGACAACATGATAGAGGCTCTGGGACTTGGGAGGAGAGGCTAAGCCTCATGAGCCAGCGACGGCAGGCTTAAGCCTGACTGGCCAGCGACGGGGAGTCTCGAAACCTGAATTGCCGCCACGCCCAACGCCCCGGCCCCCAACCCAGCCCCCTGGGTAATCGAGAACACAAGAGCACCTAACCTTAGTAATTCGATGAAGACGTGGCCTCACTTAGGTTCCCGCCTTCGCATTGGGGATCAGAAATCCGGGCGGTCTGGCCTGCCACAGCTGCAGACAAGACCCCCCATCCTCCATGTTTTTGGCCCTCTTAGCTCAGGTCCCCTTCCAAACGGCTAGGGGCATTTTTTGTTGATCGATCGGTGCCCAGCCGCGTGCCTCGAATTCTTTAAGCGTCAGGCCCCACGAAGAAGAGCCCAGCGTTCTGGTTCTGCCCGCCGCGGTGGCACAGGGGTCTGGTGCGCTTGCCGGCCACGGTCGTCAGAGGGATCCCAGGTCTTACGAGTTTGCATTGCGATGCTGCGCTGAGATTAGAACAGGAGCCCCTCTACGGGAGGAATTTGCAAGGATAGTAGCAGAAATAGTCGGCTGGCGATATTTCGTGCTCCATGGACTATTGGGGACTAAGTTTGACTGCTTTTGTTGTTGTATTCCAAACTCCGCCTGTAGGAGGGCATGCCCGGCCGATAATGCTAAGGTCCGAGCTGATTCCGCTGAACATGTCCACCGGCAAGTACCCTCAGATTCCAAAAGAAGCTGGCTGCTACCTCTGGCTTCACCACGGTTGCCCGAAGCACCCGCACAGGGAGTACAAGAGCTCCTGGTACAACGACAGGCGGCCGGGCGGTGTGCGAATCGATGGCCCAGGGCAGGGAGACCGGAGCGGGCAGAGGAGATGCGAAGAGGAGTGCGGGGAGGCGAGGTGGAGGGGGGGAGGAGAGGCGAGAGGGAAGGGATGGAGGTGGGACTGGGGGAGAGGCGAGGAGGGAAAGGTCATCGGGCGCGTTCCACGACTCGCAGGGTGACTATTCGCAAGCGTCCGCCCAAAAACACCTGCGAGCAGTTCCTTTGCGAGTAGTGGAGCGCGTTTGTCTCAAGGGGAAGGGAGGAGAAGGGGGGAGGGGAGCAGACCTGCCCGGACTGCTCAGGGCCGCCTGACATGAAATCCGAGGTCGCAGTTCCCGGCGAGATCCCGGTCCGGGGGGTTAGAGCCCGTCCGGGGCCCAGGAGGTTGGCCCGGGCAGTGCGGGTGGCGTGCTGGCCCCGGGCATGCGAAGGCTCGGTTTTCTGGGTGATCCCCCGGGGGCGCGACGAGGTTCTCGCTCGGCGCATCACGGCTCGAGTCGGAGAAACCCCTTTCTCCAGGGTGGCGCCGCGGGGGCGGGAGGATGACCGCGAGTCCTGTAGTTTGCATGTCTCCTTACAGGGCATGATCATGTTATTTATTCAAAACCACTCAAAAAATGCTTTCGGTGACCACTCGGTCGGCTGACTTTTAAAATGCTTTTTTCGTTGGTCTCTTGGCTGACTTTTTTTTTGGTATCGTTGGAGGTCTCATGTTTTTTTTTCGATTGCGAATTGCTTTTTGATTTGCTTCTGATACTCTCAACGAAAGTTGATTAGCTCTGCGGTCAGCCACATGTTCATTCTATCGTTCGGCCCTGTAAGGAAACATGAGGCATTGCTTGCGGTTGTAGTAGTTGCGTGAGGTATCTGCCCTGTCGTTGCAATTGTACATCGTGGTTGGCGGTGGTCGTTCTGAACGGTACCGTCGGATGTTTTTGCTATGAGTGGTATTGTTGTCATGCATGATGGTTCACCAAACTTGATAAGATATGCCGCCGTGGCGGCCTATTCATGATTATGTGCTTGAGTGAGCCCAACTCGAAGACCACCCCAATCAATATCCGAATCGTTCGCGCTAAGACCCGCTCACACTCAGAACCTCGAGCCCGCCAAGCGGCTCCCAATGCACGTTCGCGGCCAGACTCTCTCAGACCCACATGCACTCATACCCCGAACTGCACAATCAAAGACTCACTGCACGGAAAAGAATGAGGAGGAGGAGGAGGAGAGGACACTTGGAGGCTCCGAAAGGAGGGGCGCCGAAGTCCCCTCGCGGCTTCTTCCTCCGACAGGCGGTGGGGGCTCGCCTCCGCCGAGCTGGCCCCCGCGCGGCGGGCCCAAACGGCCCGCCAAAACGGTGGAGTGGAGGCGGGCGAGAGTGAAGTGGAGTTGAGGTTTTAAGGGTTTGGGCATGGGTTGAGGTTTCAGGGGGATTGGGGTCGGGGTCGTGTGTCAATGGGATTGTGGGGGGCTGGGGCTTTTGTTGGGTGATGCCCGAGAAGGGTTCGGTAGGTTGGGGTGGGTTGGTGCTGAGGCTGAGTCTTAAAGTGCTGAGGTCTGAGCTGGGAGAGGAGGGCCTAGGAAGAGGCCTGCGGCCTCGCTCACACGTGGTTCCCGAGCTTGGCGGCTTCCAGCCGCTTCTGGATGAGCGGGTGCGCCAGCTGCGCTCCGCGGGGGAGCTTGGCGAGTTTCATGTTCTGAATCGTGAGAAGTTGGCCGAGGCGGATTTTGTCCTTGACCTTCCTCACGGAGTGAAGGACAACCGCCTCGGCCTCAGTCGTCACGCCCCGTGCGATGATATCCGCGCTCGCTGCGAGCACAACGGGGTCGGGGGTGCCGCCGACGTGCTCGACGGCACTCGTGTATGCCTCCGTGGCCTCGCGAGGCCGTCCCTCCTCTCACTCATCGTCCTCCTCCTGACCTCCTCCTCCTCCGCCTCCCCCTCCTCCCCTACCTCCTCTTCCTCCTCATCCCCCTCCTCTCCTCAAGTCCTCCCGATTCCTCCCCCTCTCCTCCTCCTCCTCCTCCTCCTCCTCCTCCTCTTTATCCTCATCCTCATTCGGCCTCTCATCCTCCCCCTGATCCTCCCAGGGCCCAAGCCTTCTCCAAGGCCTCCCTCAGCTCCTTCTGCTCCTTCGCCTTGAAGCCCGACATCGCGTCCATCTCCACGAGCTTCTCGAGCGCGTCTGCCTCCCCGACGCCTGGCGCGTCGTGCCACAGGGTCCCGTCCGCGCAGCCACCCGCGCCCTGCTTGACCCTGGCCTGCAGCTCCTCGAGCTTCTCAGCCTCGATCTGCATGATCTCCAAGGTCACGTCCGTCAGGTTCGCGCCCACACCTTCGAACAACACCTCGGAGTACTTGTCCATGATCACCTGGTGATCCTCGAACCCGCTCATCGCCTTCACCCTGGCGAACGCGCCCGTCACCGACCTCCACAAGGATCTCAGGCTCGCGGTTGCGTCGTAGTTCTGCCCCTCGTCCTTCTTGGCTCGCTGAGCGCTGGTGTCCCCGAGGCCGATGAAGCGCCGCAAGTAGTCGCCCATCCGACTGGAGTCCTGGAAGAACCCGCCCAGCTTGAGGACGTCGTCGCGCAAGCCCTCTTGCCCATCGATGCCGTTGCGCACGACACCAGCCGAAAGCTTGAAGATCGCGAGAATCGTGGTGAAGTCGGGCGGGTTCTCTTCGTGAATGTTGGCCACGCTTGTGAACGTCCACACCGCCAGATGTTGTAACGCCTGGTAGTACACACCCCTGGACTCGACAGTGTAGATCTCGCCTTCGAGGGAATTTAGCTTCGAGGGGATCTCCTTCGCTGCGCTCTCTGAGTGCGGCACATTCTTCACGAAGTTCTTGATGATGTCCGATGCAACCTGCTCGAGTCGCTGGCTCCGCTGCGCGCTTGAGAACTCCTGATTGTACTGCTCGAGGGTGGCCAACTCCACGCGAAATACCGACTCTTCGGGGAAAACTTTCAAGCTTCTGCTCAGTAGTGAGATAGCCGTGTCGACGGACCCTCCAACCTTATCGCCCTTCTTCAGTTTCTTGCCAACGGCATCGCTGAACTTCAAGAGGCCTTTACTGAACATATTGGCGAGAGTGGCTAGAATCTGCGATGTGTTCGCCTTGTCCACAGTGCGCCACTTGTGGTAATTATCAGCGGCTGTCTCAAACGAATCCAGGGGCGCAAGATTCACGATCACGTCCTCCGTGCGGCCCCCGAGACACAAGAATTCGTTGATGGTGTCCACGTGTGGCTGAACGGCTTTCAGCGTGCTCAAGGTGTTGTCATGCTTCTCTTTTGCGGATGACACCAGCTTAGCCCAGTAAAAAGAGGTCTCCAGGGAAGATTTCACGTACCCCATGATGCCCCAAGACGGCACCTTCTCAGACACATCCTTCTGGAACTTCGCGAACTCGGCGTAGCGCTCCTCGTAAGTATCTCCAGCGGTCCCTTTAGCCAAGCCCTCTAGGAATATGACTTGCTTGAGCGGGGTAAGTAACTCCCTGCCGACCGACATGAAACATGGAGGGACCATGGCCAACTGCAGCTCGTTGGACAATTCATCGCAGACAACCTGTGCAAACACGACGGTGGAGTCCTTGTAGATGTCGTCCTTCAAGGTCATGTTGCACGCGAAGGCGTTCACAAGGAGCTGAACGTGCATCGAAACCCTGTCGCCCAAGTGCTCGTTGGGGATGTGGGCCACCTTCGGGTCGAAAGGGTCAAAGGGGCTGCACGGCCCCAACCTCTCGTTCGGATTGATCGCGTGCGTGATGTTGTCCTCATTGTCAGCCATGCCAAGATCAGTATCACCAAGCCCTGCAAGGTCGTCAAAAGTTTCCAATTGGGTATCCATGACTTCCATCACGGCTGTCCAAGGTTTGGAGCGATGCCATACTTCCTTGATGAGGCGCGTCTGGTCCACAGTGAGCTTCGAATTCTCTGGGATGGTGCCGTTCACCTTTCGAGCGACGATCGCAAACATGTAGGTGGGGTCCAAAGACTCAGGCCCGTTCGGGATGGCCACTATCGGCCTCAGCCCCCTTTGAAGCATATCGTCGGTCACCAACCCATCTTTGATGTTTTGCTGCGTGACGGCGAGGACGGTCTTCACGTTATTCATGTGTGCGTTGAGACTTGAGTAGTTCGCAGCATACTCACTTTTGCCTTGAATCTTCTCGAGTAAATTCTTGGCCTCCTTGATGCAGTTCTTCAGTTTGGCATCCATCAGATGTTGAAATAGGTCGTTCTTCTGAATCCAACACTCGCACTTGCCTGGTACATCAGGCGGGCAAATCTTCAGCAACTCCGCCGCGCTGACCGCGCCGTCATCTGACGCCGCTGAAGAAATCCTCGAACTCGGCACCTTCGGAGAACCTGCACTTCCTGGCCCTGAGCTGCTCGCAGCGGAGCCGTGCACCGCATTGTGATGATGCAGGGCGCATGATGTCAAGCCACTTGCGTCTGAGCCCATCAGTGGCACTGGTGGCAAGCTCTTCCTGGGCGATGGCGTATGAGGTTCACCTACTATGGTAATTGCCGACGGTGCCACAGCCGTGTCGCATTGAGGGTTCACGTTGTGCCTGCCGCGCTTCTTTTCTGTACCCCACGTGGCGAATGGCTAGTCGTCGGGGGTGGGCCTTCTCAGTGGGAGAAGAGTAGGCGGCTTCCCTTTGTCATCACCGTCACCATCTGCAGCCTTCTTGCCCGCGCTCTTTTTCTGGCCCAGGCCAATCACTGCGCTGAGCGTGGGGGCGTCCAACGCCTGGCTCTCGTTGAGCATCCTGGAGTCTGAGTTGGCCGCCCACTCGAAGATGGCAGATCCCTGACCCTGGACAAGACTGTTCTGCAATACCAACAACTTGCGCTCCTGGGAGTTCGTCAGCGTCCAGCTGACGCGTTCACGCCTGAGCCCCGAGTTCTTATTATCGGCCATGTCGTCGATGATCCTGTAAAACCTCCTGAACTTCCCGTGCTCGTCGACGCCCCATGCCAGGTGAGGCTCCATCTTTTTCAAAATTGAGGGCGTCAGATGTGGAAGCTTGGTCAGAGCTCGCAACTGATCTTCTGTGACGATGAGCCGATCGTAGTAGTATGACCTCGAGTGCTGGAGGATGGAGCTGACTTCCTCGTCGTCTCCTGGAGGGTGTCGTGGGAGTGCATCCGCAGACGGGCAGCCGACCACGCTCTGGACGTACTTCTCTCTCAGAATGGGGCTTTGGCCGCAAGCCCGCACCAGCTGACCCTCATCGAACATGGGGAACAAGATCTTTTTGGCGTGGCACTGTCTGCACAAGATCGAGTTGTCCTGGGAAAAAAAAACTCCATCCCTTCTCATTCTCCTCCCATTCCTCCTCATCCTCCCCTTACTCGCTTCGATCTTCGACTGTCGATCGCGACCCGGCCCTGGTTAGGCCCTGGTTTCCTGGATTCGAGCGTCTCGGCCACGGGGGTGGGTCTAAGTTGAAAGCCCTGGGTCCAGCTGCGGCCCAGCGCATATCGCGCAGAATGCCATCGCGATGCTGTTCCCAACGAGAACGCAGAATATGGATAATATGGAGGTGATCTTAAAGATCAAGGGCATTCACTCGAAGTGCTTGCTGGGTAGCTGATCGAGGCTCTCTGAAATAGCTCGGGCCAGACCGAGTCTGAGACCATGAGAAGGTTCTGCATTACCCTCTCCCCCCATTGTTGTCTGCCAGCCAACCCCCCACGCAGTTTCTGGAGGGCAAGGGTCATTGGGGTAAGGCCTCAGGAGGCCGCCGCTCTCGTCTAGGTAGGCCTTGCTCAGGCTAGCCCGAAGGAGAGTGGGATACGTTCAAATGCAACGGCATCTTGCTCCTCGAGGTCCGAATGGGGAGGGTGGGGGGGGAGGGCAAGTAGAGGGTCTTATATTGTAATCCAACGTGTTTACCCCTCGCATCTCAGCTAAACGCTGTACGGTTGTTCTCGTGTATGTTGTAGCTGCTGTATCTGATGAAGTGGATGCTCCATCCGACGCAGAAGATGCAGCTGCGGCATCTGTTGTTGCTGATGTTGATGTTGGCTTGTCTGATGTAGCCGCTGCAGTTTCATGCATGGCTGCGTTTGCCGTAGCTGATGCGACTGGTGCTGATGATATTGATGCTATTGATGATGTTGGTGCTTCTCGAGCTGCTGTTGATGCGATTGCTTAGAACGCCGCAGCCGCCGACCCCCTACCGCCGAGAAGCCCGCCTCGCGGGCCGCACCCGTGATGGGGCACGCGGAAAATCCCATGGGTTCGTTTTGCATGGCCCCTGGAACACAACGGCACGATTCCTCATGTAAAACTTGCTGGCCACATTTCTCCTGGAGCACCTGCCAGCTACATGTTCAGTTGCGTGACTACAGGCTGTTCTATTTGTTTTTTTTTTTGTTCTTTTTAGTTTTTTTTAATTTTTTTTTTTTTTTTTTTTTTTTTTTTTTTTTTTTTTTTTTTTTTTTTGTTTTTTTTTTATTTTTTTTTTTTTTTTCTTTTTTTTTTTTTTTTTTTATTTTTTTTTTATTCTTTTTTTTTTCTTTTTTATTTTTCTTTATTTTTTTTTTTTCTTTTTTATCACGCAACAGCACAGTGCAAACGGAACGTATATAGGCGCTGTTACTTCCCCCCGCGCGCAACCCCTCCCACGCCCCTCCCGGTTTTCTGCGGGGGTATCGGTGCCAGCAGCTCAGCGCAACCTTCTCGCTGATCCACATCAGCACGGTCAAGTGAAACAAAGTACAGTCGGTCGAACACGTCACTACTGTATCACATCTTCGCGGTGATTGCTTTTATCCAAAGTGTTGTTCCGTGCTCTGATGCGTTTACCCCCTGCATCGCATAAGAAGCCCCTCAAACCAGAAAGCGAGCGCCCGAAGCCCACGGATTTGTCGGACCATATCCTGAAGAAACGCAAATCCCCCATGCACTCCCTCCCTCGGAATAATATGCGATGTCGTTCACCTCTTGTTTTTCGGGCCCCCTGGGGCCCATTCGAAAAATCATTTCCGCAAATATTGGGGCTCTACCTGCTGAAGCTTAGATGCAAGCAGCCCGATTGCCAAGTAGGTCAAGGCACGACCTCTGGCTCGGTATCATCACCCTCGTGATACTTGGGTGGTTCGCAGCTCTCTTCAAACTCACGCCACCTGTCTTGAAGCGTATCTCGCTGGACAGTCCGAGCCACGCAACGTTCGCCAAGGGAAGGCTCGTAGGCTTGGTGTGCCGCTCGAGATGCGCAGTCAGCGCCAGCGGCAATCCACGCAGCCCCCCAACCCAGGGACCGACCTTGGCCTCGCCTGCTCTCGAGCTTTGAGCGGTAAGCAGCTTTTTCTCGAGTGCACCTGCCGTGGCCGTTTCCCTGGCATACAAAAACGAAGCGGGAACGATCGGACCTGTAAAATAAAACCTGCCCACCGCCATGTAAAAGAATATCACGCGTAGCGTTCGAAGCCCTGGAAACACCTGGCAGGGCGGGCCCCCCGCCACCAGAGCTTGCTGCTGCTCCTGCAGCGGGCGCGACAGGGGGTGGAGGTGGCTCAGGAGGGGGTGGAAGTGGAGGGCCATGCACAGGCAGCCCCTCTGCTTCAGAAGCGTGCGCGCCTGCAGGTTCAGGCGGGCATTGCTCATCCAGCTCAGGTGGAAGGCCATCACCACCGCCTCCAGCGCCACCATCACCATCAGCAGACCCAGGACGCGACTCACTGTCAGAATCCCCGCTGGAGGTGCTGGAAGCGGTGCTGGAGGAGTCCTCGTCTTGCTTGTCCTCTGCGCGAACAGACGAAAAGCACTGAGTCACTGAACGCAAACACTGCTTTTCAAATACGATGTTTCAGAAAACACAGCACCTGGTGAAAAAAAAAACATGACCATAAGAAAACCTCTTAGCGTCGTGGAGGGAGTGTCCGATCATTTCAATCGGTCTCCTCGTCGTCATAAGAGCTGTCGGATACAGAGCTGTCCCCGTCGGTGTCGTCGGCATCTGAATAATCTCGCCGTGCGGCGGCCCTACCTCTCGGCCATACTTTGTGCCACGAGCCATGATCGATCGGGAATGGGGTCGCCACTACCTCGTTGGGCTCCAACCTCAGGAGCCTCAAGTTGGACTGTCGCAGCTCCAAGAACATTACGTGCCAATCGTTGCGCAAGTCCATCTGCGCGTATACGTTGCACTCTATGTGCCACTCCGCACCAGCCTTCAAGGAGTTGTCTAAAACTGTTCCATCGAGAGCCCCCAGGACACTTCGGGGCCCCAGAGCAATGCTGTAAACCGGAGGAGGTTCGTGGCGGGAAGCCGTGGTTTTTGCCCCAGACAGCCCAAGCCGTGCAGGAAATCGTGTGTCTGTTGTTTTCCTAATTATGCGCGCACTACACGTCCACACCTGCATGCCAGCCAAACGATTCGCAGCCTCGTTGCACTAGAGCAAGGTAGCTGCGCGGGCGCGCAGCCTGCGGAACACCAGAACGAAACATACTATTATGATGTTTTTTTCCGTGTTTGCTTAGGTCGACCCAGGCCCCTAAACGCGAGGACAATGTCATTTTGGGTTTGCGCGCTTGTATGCGCGCGCAGGCGTTACCAGAAATTCGCCCGCGTTGCCGAACCTATCGTGTTTCTTTCGCGACCCTGGTGGAAGCCTTCGAGTTTCCAGTGAAAACATGCGCAAAACAAAAGCGCGCGCATTTCCATGACGATTCACTGTTCTTTCGTAATGCAAGGCTGCCCGCGCTGGATTGACGCCTAAACCTTGGCATGCGCGCGCAGGGCCCGCTTGTCTGGCGTTTCGCCTAGCGCGACTACATCGCGGCGATATCGCGCGCGGCAAAGCGCTACCTGGGCGCTGCATCTAGACAGCGGGGTTAGCATGGCGGACGGTTCCAGAGCCGCGCTTGCTCTGCAACTTGGCAGGCACCCATCAACGCAGGACCGCGAAGCGCTGTATTGTTTATGCACCAAGCAATCTCGCGCCTTACGAATCGGGACCATCGGCCCAGCGCGCGCGGCAACCGCAGCGCTTCATGGCTGCGCGATTCGCCGACGAAGCCCGAGCACTTCTGCGCGCGGCCACCGCGCTCACCAGATTTGATCAGTTGCAAGACTTGCGCGACGCGCGACGCGCGCGCGCAGCCATAACGCGGCAACGCGCAGCTCCTGATGGGCGCGCGAAAGCGCGTGGCGCGGCGCAGCGCAGACGGCGGCAGTCGCGCTGGCGGCGGTGGCAAGCGCGCGCGAAGTCGGAAGAGGGTGAAAGCGTCGCGCGCAGCAGACCGATTTCCCCGTCTTCCCGATGCCGCAGCACGAAGGGTTCAGGGCGCGCGGGGCGAGGAAGTGTCAAGGGCGGCGGGTTGCACATCGAAGTTGCGCGCTGCCGCGAGAAAGCCAACTGCCAATGATTCTGCGCTGGGAAAGCAATCGCTCGCCCCTGGCCGACGCGCGAAGTTGATCGAGCACGGCTTGCGAGCGCGGGGGCATGGCGGCGCCCGCTGCGTCTGCGCTGCCAGCTAGACATGTCGGGCGCGCGTTGGAACCAATGCGCGCGGCGCAGCGCAGCGGTGAAAAGCGCGGGCGGGCTGCGCGGGAGGGCGGGGGGGCGGGGTGCAGCGGCGATGGCGGCGCGAAGTTGGCGAGAAAAGCCTGGCGCTGGCGGGGCGCAAGGGCGGCGCGCGCGGTCAATCGGTCGGAGCCGCGCGGGGCGAAGAACGATGGATCGGCGCGGCGAAGCGAGCGAGGTGCGCGCCTGCCATGGTTTGGCAGGTGCGCGGCGGGCGGGCGGCGTTGAACGGCGTTGCGCGCTTGCTGGCCTGGCGGCGCCCCCAGCGGCCGATGCGCAGGCAGGGGCCCGCTGCGTCTGATGGTTGCGCACCCAGCGGGGGGAAGGATGGACGGCGACGGGCGCGAGGCGAGAGCGCGCGCTGCGCTTGTGCTCAGCTGCCGCGCCGCCGCGCGGCGGCTGGCAAACGCGCCGCGGCGGCGGCGAGCCCCCTTCGCCGCGGGCAAAGGCCGCAATTGGCAACGGGGGGCGCGCGCGGGCGAAAGGCGAAGTGCAGCGAACGCGAGCGCGAATGCGCGGGGTCGCGATACCATGGCCAGGTTTGATTGGCCCGCGGCGGTGGCCGCAATTCTCGTCGCAAACAAACATGCGGCGCGCGACCCAGAATGCGGGGGGCGCGCGGGCGGGCGCGCGGCGCGACGTCGCGGATCTCACGCGCGATGCAGCGACTGGGGCGGTGATGGGGGGAGGGGGGAGGGGGTGGGG